TATTTTTTCATAAGAAAGATGTTCAGTTTGAATAGCCTAGATTAAGTACATGAAATTTGTGAGTATATGAGAAAACGGCACAGTAATGGCTTTACCAGGAAATTTTTCTGCATTGATTGTGGCAGTATTACTAATCCTGAATCAACCTGAATGTACAGAACTGAATAAGTATTAGAGCTGCCCATTTGATAAATGCACTAGTCCATTAATTTTACCTTTTTTTTGTTGAATAAATTATTTGACAAATAATGGTAAAATTCATCAAATAAATTATCTGATGAATGTATTTTTTAAGTAATCGACTAGCTCTAATGAATATGCAGGCAGTTCCTTAATGAAAAGCATTACTCTACTGTTAGCCTGCTTTCATCACTCATATGTCACTTTTTTGTATTTTGCAACTGCAATCTGTATATTTTATTCATTTACCCATTCATTTATATAAGAAAGGTTCAAAACAGTATGGTTAATCAATCACTGAAGTTCTTAGAATATTTTTGCTTTACAGTTGATTACTCATTACATTTATTAAAAAGGGCTTGGATTTTCTAGGGACGCTGCTCCCAAGAATTATTCCTGGCTTGTACGTTCCAAGTCAAGTGCATAAGAATGCTCTGAAAATTGCAGGGTTCATGTATAAGCCACTTTTATAGTTGCAAACACTACAATTACCAATTGTTTCAAGAAACTGGAACTTGAAGCCAAGCCAGACGCCTTCAAAGTCCCTAAAAACATTCATTAGAGGAGTATAACAAGGAATAGCATACTGGAGCTACCTCGTCACTGCACAGCACTGGGATGTTTGGATAAAAGCCACAGAGAGGATTATCTGGATGATGTTCAATTTTGGAAATGTTCCAACTTCAAAGAGCAAGTCTGTATTTTTTTATTACAGAGGTGATCTCAACAAATGATAGTGATAGATTTATACTGTCAAATGGCAAATTGCACCTATTAATGTTACAACACGTCACACTTCTGAGTCCTGGTTCCTCACAGGGGTGTGCCAATTTATTATGGCAGTGGCAGTAGGTACAACAGTCAGGTCTGCATGACTCTGTCGATACTGCAAAGGTACAAATCATGTTTTCATGGGTGACTTTGAACTTGCTCACAAAGCTCAGCTGAACAGATTTGATGGGAGAACATTGTGGGAGACAGGTATATTAGAAGGGTTGGCTAAAGCTGTATTTGGAATAGCAGTGATTCTTTTCCAAATTTTCCTTTTAATGTCTCATAGACTTTCATAACTATAGTGTTAATAGCCCTTGGCCAACCTTCCAGACATCATTTCTACTCCAGAGTGGATAACTAATATATAGCTGAACCTCAAAATAGGTACAAGGACTTATGCAGTATCCATAGAGTTTAAAAAATGAAGTTTCCAAAAACACCAGGGGTGCAGAATAAAGCCCTTACATAGGTCTACTCCCTCTCAGAAAGCTGTGATGCCAGAGGTGGGGAAAGCCATGTTGAAATCCTCCACAATGGGAAAGAGTTCGTTGTTGACAGACATTACATGCTAATCAAAACTGCAGCCACATCACCCTGGTGGCAAATAGTAATTTCCATTCTACATACTTGTTACAGGGAGATTACTGTCTTAAAAGTGCATTACAATAGAAAAGAAAGTCTTCTAGGGCTTCTTTTTATTATCTTTTTTTTCCTCCCATTTTCATATTTTTAAATCTGGGATTTATATTTGTCATTGCCTCAATCAGTCTTGGGTTGCTGTGTGCACAAATGTTTGTCCCTTAAAGCTTGAGATAAACTCATATTTCTATTAAAAAGTTTAAATACTTGTTATAAACAATTTCTCCATACTTGTATGCTTTGATCTAATCTACTGCATAGTTTTAGTTAAAATGGTTGTGGTTCTAAAGATTACAAATATTAGGAGGAAGAAATAAATTGTAGAAATTATCTTCAGTTTGCAGCTTGTTTTATAAAGGTTTTAAATGCTCTTTTTTTTGCTAAGTCCATCTAAAGAGTTCCTGACCTACTTCTTTTCATGCACAGCCACCAATCTAATAATAATAATAATTTTTAGATGGGATCAATAATGCCATTGCTTTGCACTTAACACTTCTAATAGAACCTTAGTATTAATAAGCAAACACCTTCAGAAGTAGTGTTTCTGCTTAGGCAATCAGAGAAGAAATTAATCTGTTCTCCTGATAAACACTTGAGCTCCCTATGCTTCATTATTACTACAGATTTACAGCCCAAGAATGTGTTTGAAACAACGTGCTCTGAGACAGCTAACCCATTGGTACAGGAGTGGTTCTGTTCTTCATCATTTACATGCTGTCTCAGAGGCATATTACAGTATAATCCAAACCACAAATCTCCTGGGCCCCCACTCACAGAAATGGAAATCACTATTTGGATACATGGGCATTTGTCCTGACAATGATTTTAATGTTTCTGTGCAAGAATTTTGTGGTGAGTAGCCCTCCAGAGAATTGGTATCCATGGTCTCCCAGCTATCTTGGAAAACCAGCAAATTCAATGCTAGTAGTAGATGAAGTTCAGGATTAAATGTAAAGTTGAAGCTGACAGATTTTTCAGCCTTCAATATGATGGTTGCAGTGCCCTATCTGGTTATTCCAGAACAAAAGTGATATTTTCTTATCAGAGTCCTTAATTAATATTAATTTTCTACTTTCTCCTTAGTTAGCTGTGTGCAGAATGGAAATATTGGTAAAAGACTGGCTCCTGTAATCAAAAGGACTGCCTGAGTGGCACTACTTTGGAAAGAGTTTAATCTTTGTCATGCTGGAGCCCGTGCAGTGTTCTCAACAGGAAGGCAGGACAATGGAAGCAGAATTACTACCAACAATGTGCTTTCCATGGAGAAGACATCTGACACCAACTTCATCTTCTAGTGTCAGTGCCTATTTTCATAGAGTTTTCCATATTTTCCTTTATTACCTGGATAGAGCATGAACAAATTACTTGCACCCTAAGAAAAAATCCCTCTTGCAGTTCAGGCTGCATTTTGCTATCACTCCATCAAAACAAGCTGTCCAAACCCTCAAAAACACCCTGGAGCAGCTGAAGCACCTTGCTGAAAGCAGATTGCCTTTCCCTCCATGGTCTAGTGGCACATTGTTATGAAGAGACAATAAATAAAATTATGCAAATACTGTAAAACAAGTTAGCATTAACTACTTGTAGAACACACAAAAAGTAGCTGAACAATCAGAGGGCTCTTCGCTGTTCAGCTTGAGTTCCTTTACATGGCTTCACTTAGGCAAAGGAGTGAGAGAAAAAGAAATTGTCTGGCTGCTCTCCTCGTCCGTAGGAGGGCTGCACTGGCACACAGGCCTGGGTCAACTTCTAGCACCTCCCTTTTAATTTGCAGGGATTGCTGGAAGATCTGGAGTGCTCAAAAAATGTCTACGGGCCTCAGAGCCCAGCTTGCAGGATGTGCTTCTGCAGCCAGCCAGATTTACAGCAAAGCCACTGCAGACCTGCTCTGCCTCTGCAACGTGTACCTGAGATCCCCACTGGGCACAGCTCGGCTGGAGCTGAAAACAAGGTTACAGATGCCTGCTCTTGGGGCATTTTATATGTTTTGATAATGTGATTTTCGTGTGCTAACCGTACAAAGATACATCACTGTGCATAAATCTTTACTCGAAGGCAGATGAGGAACAGGAATGAGAGAAATAACAACAAAAACTCCAGCCCTGCTGCCTCCCTGGAAGAAAAGATAAGGTCCAAGGAGGAAATAGGAAATTGTAAACTTAAACCTAAGAATTGTAAGAATTTCCTAGTAAAGGATGATGTCTTGCCATGATTTTATTCCATTTTAGTAACCTGCTGGACACCAGAGCTATCTGACCCAGAAGCACTGAGCCAAAGGAGGTTATGGTGCTTTTCCTCTCAAAATCTTCTGTGGTGAGCAGAAGGGTGAGATGGGGAGGCATAACCTTGCAGCTATATCTGGCAGGTTATTTCCAGCTGTACCCAATATGCAGTGGGAATTTGGCATGAAATTCGACCAGAATGATGCCTGATACTTTATTAAGCTTTGAAATGGATAATGCCTTGAAATAAAACTGTTTCACTACCAAGTTATATGTGTTAGGATCTTCCACTTCTTTTTTACAAATCCTCACATTATACCAAATAGCTTAAAAAACAACATGGTTGTAACTGACTTGACCATAGGTGTGAGGCCTCACTATTGCACCCTCTCCTCTTGTTAGCTCCAGCTGTCACTGTCAACAGTGCCATACAGAATAAAGCCCCATTACAGCTAGAATGGTTCCTTAAACTTTAGAGCACTTAGAAATGCTCCCGAGACACCAAAAACCTCTCGATTCAGAATTGAACATGTAATACCTGCCAAATTTGCAGGTTTGAAACCACTTCCAATAGGAATTAAAAAGGCCCTCTTCACAGCTGAAATAGGGCTATCAATACTTGACTTGTCTGCCCATGTGAAATAGCGGGTTCTTTTCTCTGACGTCGCAATTTAGTTTAAAATGGCTTTGATGATGACAGGGTACACGCGAATGATAAAACCACAAAGATGACAGTCTAATCTTACCAAGATGACCGATCACTGATAAGAGATTAAGTCACACAACATTTGAAAAACCAGATTATCTGTCTGCTAGGATGGTGTCTGTGTACACCTCCTGCTGAGCCATGCTGAGACGCCAGTGACATACAAAGACACTTCTCTGTAAAAGCCAGAAATGCTTCACAGAATTTCTTAAACCATTGGGATAAAAGAAAGAGAGTAAGAAAAAAGAAATCCTCTGATATTATATTGAACTTTTTTGTAAAATTTTCATTTTTCAGCCTAGTAAAGTATTTAGATGTACAGCATATAAATAATTTAGAGGTACTATAAAAAGATCTAAATTAGTCAATTCTGTCCTATAATTAGCACTCACAGCTATGCTGGCAGTGGGTGGGGGATTATTAAACACCTTTTATTATTGGCTTTATGTACTACAATAAAAAATTAAAATTATACTTACAAGAATTATTAGACATGCTGGTCCTATAAAACTCCATATAAAGTTATTCTTAGTGCTGAGCCAACATCTGAAAATTAAACAGCAAAAAATGCCTTGAAATGTGCTTTTGTGATTATTGCCTCCTTCTGTACAATGATTTAGACACATTAACAGTGACTTACACTTCTGTGGTGCCATAGTACTTGTATCCCAGTGCAGCAGAGATTCCAACCACCACGGCTGGACTGACATAGCCAAAGACATAGAAATTCTTGTGCAAGAAACCCTTGTTGTAGATGACTCCCACAACTATAAGGTAGAGGTGAATACCTTCAATGCACATCCATGCAAAAGCAGCTAGAAGGAAATAATGGAGTAGTCCAGCAGTAATTGAACAGAAGAGCTAGAAATTCAATCAGAGAAAGCAGGAGTCACAATTCTATTAATAGGCCTTTGTCAATATATATTATAATAGTGCATGCATAGCAACCCAGTGACTCTAAAGTGGTGATTCAGCCTGGTTGTAGTGCTGCTTAACAAGAACTTGGCCTACACCCATTTGCACATTCGTTCATGAGTGTTTTCTCTAGCAAGTAGTAAAATAGAGAGACTACATTCAACTTTTAAAATTAGTGTATGTCTTCCCAGAAAAGCTGTATAAATGGTTTGACTAGGTTGATCCTATTGTTATAGCTGAGTGGTCTATATGCTTGATCTACACAATGTTAATTTTTATTATTTTGATAACATTGTAATTAGGCATAACAAGGAATTATTTCTGAAATAACTTTTGTTATACAAAGTGCTTGTAAAATGATATTTTTCAATCCATCAGTGCTACCTCAGGGATAGCAGCTGATATATTTTCAAGTGATTTTAAATTCTATTCAGCTACTTATAGTAGGCTATTTTGATCATTTATGTATAGCCTTAGTTCCTAAAACTAATCTGAGATGCAAAAATCAACACCCTAGCTTTCTGAAAAGCAAAAGGGACTGGTCAGAGCCTCACATGAGGTCCTTCAGGTAACAGTTCAATATCTCAGATGTCAGCTTGGGATTGCAGCTCTGGCCTGATTTTAGAGAAAACTGTCACCCTGGAAGCAGCCAACGTGGCTTTATACAGCATCCTAAGTGAAGTGAAAATGCTAAACACATTGAGATCACAGTCTCAGTAAAGGTGACAAATTTTAGATGAAACCTATGGAGCAACGTCAATACACAGCAGCTCAGACAAAGCCCTTTAAATGCTTCTTTAAATGACCATTTTGTTTTTCCTGTCACTGTACTGGATAGTCAGGGTCACTATTGTAGGTAGGAAATGTGGGGAGTAGAAGGAAGATCATATCTTTTATTGTATATTTATTTTGCAATACAAAATCAAGGCACAATTGAAAACTACCCACCTTATTATTGTTCATATTAATTCCAATCAGAAAAATAAGTTCCGCCAGGAAAAGGCTGCAGCAGAGGTTTTTGTGAATTGTCGTTCTAGTGCTTTGAATTTCACTGAAGAACCAGAATGTGAAAATGCACATGGAGAGGCAAATCAACGAAATAATTATTCCTAGCTGAGTGATTCTTGTAAGAATGCTATAATTTGTAACACCCTGGGGGAAAATTATAATATAGTATTTAAAAGAACAGCTTTGTAACTTCTCAAGAAAGACCTCATTCTATAATACAGCTCTTTACTTCTTTTCTACAAAATATTAATCAAAACTGTTTGTAAGTTTCACTAGAAATGTACACTTTGGATAATCTAAAAAGTATTGGGTTTTCATGAGACAGATATAATTCTAGGGGAAATTAGTAATAAACTGTATATACTCCTGCTCTTGCATTTTCTGATATTTCTTAACAAAACTTTTTATTAACATCAGTATCTCCTAATAAGATTTTCAAAATCAGATCATTTTAGTGAATGACAAATACACTGGCAGTAGGACATCTATTAATATGACACAAACATTTTCTAATATAAAAGGACTTATCACAGCAGTGACTTAGATAAGCAAGACTGAATAACTGTCTTACTGAATTTGCAACACGATCAAAACAAGACTCTGAAATAACTATCACTTCAAGCAAATGCTATTCCAGATACGTAACATGAACTTTCTCCAGAAAAACACAAGATACTTCAATACCGGATGTGAATATTTTCTATATAATAATACAATTTCTTTTGCTGTTTGCTATTTGGACAAAGAAACTCTGAAATACCTGACTGTACATCAGCAAAAGGATAGTATTCAGCTGACCAGAAAATGTATCAAGTATTTTCTTACAAAATAAAGGATGAGAGATTCCTCACCTCCCTGCCTTTCTTTTCAAAATAACTATATAAGTACCTGCAAAGGTTTTAAATTTGAACTGAAGACTTAGGATGCTATTTAGCAACCAGGAAACAGCCTCTATCAGCATGAAATTCACAGTGTGAGAGAACTGTCTCAATACAGTATATTCATGCTAATATTCTGCTTGCTGTCAGTTCTGATACCTTATAAAGCTGCCTCCTGAGGCAGGACCTGAGCTCTTGCAGATCCCCACTGAGACTCTGGAAATCTATGGGGCTTCTTAATATAAGAAGGACAGAAATTGAATGGCCATTCTCCCAGTTTTGTGCCGGTTGTGAGTGTCCATGTTTAATAGTCATAAACTTCAGACTGATTATGCTGCTGCAAACTCTCCAGAGAGAATTTAAAGCAGATTTTTAGATGCCAAGGTTAGACAAATGGGTGGCAAAGTTTCGAGAGACAGAAATTCAGGGCCATATGGTTGCTGACCACCAGTGAATGGCAGATAAATCCCACGGCAGTCTTAAAGTGAGATTTAAAATGAAATGCAATGCTCCAAAAATAAGCACAACAGACTGTGTTTTTGGAACAAGATACTTTGCTGCATCACTGCTCTGTAATACTGCAGAAAGGACATAAGGAAATTCAAACACATATGGGACGAATTTTGTTTGCTTTGTGCACAATAAATTGTGCGTTTGCTGAACAAAACCAAGAGACAACCTAAAGGGGGGTAAGTATGCAGGTTGCACTAAAATAAAAACATAGGGAATGAAAACAGAAGATAGTATCAGGTAAAACACTAAATTAAAATAGCACTTACAACTGAGCCACCTGAGGACATCAAAACAGCAAAATGAGTCAGATGATTACATTTGCATGAGATATGAGTGGAGTTGGAATGTGTCAGCTCACAGCCTTCTGTAGCCCAGTTGCCATTCATTGTATCTGAGTAGTTCCAAAACGCACATTTAATGTCTTTATCTGCAGTCTGGAACAGAAACAAGATGTTCTGCTGATGGCAAAAGGCAGGATATTTCCCATCAAGAGACCTTTTTTATGCTAGACCGTGCAATTCATGAAAAAATACTTGTTATCATTGGAAGGTTGGGAAACAAAAAACACGTTCTGCAAGGCCTATTCCAAGCAATTAGAACGTGGCTGGGGATGGAAGCAGTTTATTCACACAGTTAAAACCCCACCAAACATGTATTCTAACCAGATTACTAAACCCTTCTGGCACCTGCAAAGATGTTGGAATTTTTACCTATTGAAAACATTGGTATGTATACACTTGCACCTGCTGAACTGGACTCCAAGGTTACAGCCACATTGCTTATCCATTCCAAATGGGCAGCTCAAAACCTGAGACTTATTCTGCCCATTTTACAAAGCAATCTGGGATAAAGCCAGAGTCATATCACACCTGCTATATCACCTGCTACACAACAGTGATGAGTAAGACCATTAGTATTATTTAGTACAGTTAATGCTTACTAAATCTAGTCAAAGACTAAATTTCCCCTGTAATATAGGCTTTATATATGCAAATTTATATAAATGTGATTTCTAACTCAGAAGAGAAGTAACAAATTTAAAAGCTGTGTAACCAAGGTTAGCACCTTGTCCCATTGCTCACCTCTCTACTGTTGTTTTCTTGTTATGTTTCTGATGCTTCTTTGTGCCATGTAAGGTGATTTTTCACATATGAATGAAGCCAGCAAAAATATGCATTTGCTGGAAGTAAACCTCTGAGTTTTAAAAAATGTGTTCAGATTTCAGAAATAACAAAGCTTCAAAACTATAGGTTCTGCTATTACCCCCTAATTCCATGTGACCTTTTTTGCATTAACCTTGAAATATTACTTCCCTTTTTTTAAAGGGAAACCATTCTTAACCATCTGATCAACTTTCAGAAAGAAAACCCACCTAAATACAGAACACTCAAGATCCTGTAATATTCTCTGGTTCAGACATGTACATTTTATCCATACTACAACCCAGCAAAGATGGCATTATTGCCCTTGTTGTAGTCTCACAGCAATTTTCCTCTGTACCATACTTAGTATATTGCACTTAGGACGTCACATTTGAGATTAATCTTATTAGAGTAATAAATGGTAACCTCACATCAGCAAACAACAGAATTATGTCTCAGTTTATCATATGATGCAGGTATGCTTACATCACATAAAATGATTAGCTAATGTTTTGTTTTACTTGAAGCTGCTAATAAAAACCTCTCTTACCTTGGCATACTTTAAGGTAAATGTTATTTTCTCAAGCTCATAGAGCGTGGGTGGATTTGAGCTAATTGCAACAGCTATAAGTGCTGAGCCTACAGTCTGTGTGTGCTCTGAAGGATCTTTGGAGGAGCGGTTTTGAGGTGATGAAAGCAGAGAACCGATGTTGCTGTACCGCAGAAAGACAACTGCAACAGTGCCTATCAATCAAACACACCATGGTTAGCTGTGCGAGGGTTTTTATGGAAGAACAAAATTGAAGACATTAAGGAAACAATAAACAATAGACATTATTGCGGCTATTGCATAAAATATGCAAAACAGATGGAGCCTTTGTGGAATACTTATAAAAATGTTTTAGAGACAATGAAATATAGCTTTATTTAAAACAATGTAACTGGCATTAGAAATAAAAATGTGTGTTCGCACTGGAAATACTAATTAGATATATGCATATGTATTTTTCCTAGAGTGATGTATGCTTGCTGCTGTTCTGCAACTGGTTACACATGTGGTGTCAACTCTTATAAAGTAAAATGTCTCACACCTGAAGTAAATACTGGACCTTTCTGGAGTACCTGGCTTGCTTTTGTAATGACTTCCATTACATTGGACCCAGGATAGAATACAAATAGGGAAAAGGAAAAAGGTATTTTTTGGATTCAGTGATGATCTTAAACAATGTAGTGACTTTCTCCCTGGTACCACAGTAAACCACATTTTTAGATACTGATACATGGCGAGATACTGATTAGATAGAAGATGAGAATTTAAAAAATATTTTCCATGCTTATTAAATTACGTGTTTTAATTCCAGAGCTGTTTAAACATATGCATTTATATTTAGTGATGACAGTAGTTTTAAGCCCTTTCTGTAGCACTCTGAGGCAGATTTGGGTCCTGCTGGTTTTGGTACTAAAGATTACATGTTCTTGCCCCAGTGAGCTACTCTCTGAATGGAAAAATGCACCAAATTTTGATGAAGTAGCACAGAGTCGAAGGGGCCGGTCCAAAGCCATACAACAGATCTATGGCTGAGAAAAGGATAAAGCTCAGATCTGTGAGACCAATACCTAGTGTGAAAACTCACTGGATACTCACTGTGCCACTGGATATGTTAGAAATATCAGTCTTGAGACAAAAAAGGATAAAGGGTTATAAAAATACCTTGTATTCTTTGCGGTTAGCAGTGTGGAAGTTCAGCCTTGGTTAACTGCACATTTGGGAGTTTTCTAATGGGTACAACTCTATCCAAAGTGTTTATTAACCCACCTACTCTCCAACCTTTGTTTCTTACCATTTGGGTGAGGCTCCTTTCTCTTCTTTGGAGAGATCTTTATGTAATCTCCCCCTGTGTATACATGAGGGTGGATGTGTTTCATGTGATGTGAATCAAAAGCAAAAACCTTGAGTGCTGCAAAGGAAGAAAAATAGTGTACAAATCACAGCTCCATTATGGCCTACCATAATTTAGAGTTGGGTTAATAAATGTGCTACTGAATTGCATAATTACTGTGAATTTTAAGACTCTATCCTTGTGCAAAATATTTCAAGAAAAATTTCATTAATATAACATGTTTGTTTAAACATCTATGTTTTGTTTTATTTCATGCATACATTTTGCTCTCATACATTTTACTCTTTCCATGAAAAATATAGTCTCTTACTTACCTTGCCTTAAATTAGGTACTGGAAAAAACAATGTAGGTTACTTTAGGAAGAGCTATTGCTTTATTAAAAATGTATTTCTGAAAGGGGCCACAAATCACAATTATAAAAAGGAAAGCATAAAATTCTCCAGTGAATAATAACATTTGATAAAAGCCAATTTTTGAAAAGTATATATTTTATGGTTATCTATCCATGCTACCAAGCACACATTGCACCATGAACTAATGATGTGTCTTGTCAAAAAGCAAACAAGCATCACCCCTTAGGACAAAAACTACATTAGAGTCTATTGAGCTCTTTACTTGCTTCATTACAGTGCTGAGTTTCAATCACTCAAGATGGGAACAAAAAGAAGCCAATCAGGCTTTTTTTGAAAACAAAACAAAACAAACCAAACAAAACAACAAACAAATCTAAAACTTGACTGATGGAGGAATATCACTAAGCTAGACCATCTGCATTGCTTATAGCATAGCACACAAAAATAATATGAGCTATTCAATAGACCAGCTGTCAGAAAATGTTTGTAAGGGCATAAGAAATTGTTTTCTTTGGCTGGAGTTTTATAAATCTCATAGTTCAAGAGCTTGCACGAAAAAAAGAAGTGGAGAGAGAGGGGTGTAGGTCTTATGTAGGTCTTTTCCAAAATAGTTGTATGTGGCACATATGAAACCTGAGAAAAATTTATTCATGCTGAAAAACAGTAACAAAAGATATTTGGGTCCAATTTTTGGGTACAATTTGGAAATAGACTCATTCAGTTTGTAATTTTAGAACAACAACAAAAAAAAGAATATAACCATTAACCATTCAACATAGGAATTCCTCTCCATTCTCTTTCTGCTTTTTCTGTCACCTTGGTGACTGATATCCAGTTCCACTGGAGACTGCACCTGAATCCTCTCTTCCTGATTTTCATGGCCTCAGCTCTTTGGTGTTGAGAGTCTCTGCTTTGAAGCAAGGGAAGCGTGAGGAGAGGGCACAGGGGCTTTACAGCCAGCACCTGGCACTGCCCTGGACCTGCTGCAGACCCAGAGGTGCTCTGCAGTGACAGAACTCTGATTCTACTGAGTCTATGTCAAGGAATAAATCCCTCCCTACTTTTTCATCACTAATTTATTTTCAGAAAGGTGAGGGAAGAACAGGTGGTCTGACCTGCCTCGAGACCACAGCAGGAATCTTTCTCATCAAGTCATCATATGAAACAGCAAGCTGGTGAGAGACACTGAAGGACTGCACTAAATCTAAAATAAGAAATCAGATCACATACAGTTTGGGGACATTCAGAAAAATAAAGATGAAAGAGTGGCCATTGACAAAGGAATCAGCCATGCTTTATCAGGGTTTTCAAAAGTGGCTGGTGTCAGCCTTACTCCTCTCTCAGTGAAGGAATGGTAAAACTATTATTACCACAGCAAAATCAGCTGTATTGGAGGGAAAGACAGCAGCACACAGGGAGAAGGTAGGTGAGCAAAATGGTGCACTTGAGACTAACCATTTCTCCTCCTGGGGAATTCCTCTTAAAATGAGAAATTCCTGTTGAGATAAAGCCTCTCAAGATAAAACTCACCAAGTACAATCCTTATTCCAAGTTAATTTATAATAACTATGCTGAACCAAAAAGAATAAAAAAAAAATCTGTAGAGAACAAGTCCAAAATTTTGTTCCACTGGTGTTTTTTATACACATAAGATGCATAGGATAATTTTGTGCTTATAAAATGAATCTAGTGTGTGTGAGTATGGTCATAACGAGACATTTAAAGAGAATATGAAAACAAGTTCCCACAGACTCTCAATTTATTTTTTTGCACTGTTTAGTCTTTGAAAATTATGATACCTACACTGAAAGTCAGGTGTTAGTTACAAAAATCATACAAATTAACACCTGTGTCTTTCACATAACACCATTTCTAATCTTCATAATTGTGCTGAAAAACTCCTCAGTTTAATCCACATCTAAAGTACATCTTAGATTAATTTTCTTTATCTTACCTATGTCACTTGCATTAGCATCCAGCTGGGCTGTCTTTTTGAAGCCCTGTGACATGAGAAGTGTTGCCTGCTCTGCAGTGTGCAGCAGCTTAGTCAGGCTCCGCCTTTGGTTATCTACAGGTAGAGCTTCCCACACTGTAATTTTGTCTTTTTGTAAAAAATTGTTCACAGTGTTCACCAAAACCTGTAAGTAAAAGCATGTGTTTGAGAAGAAGCTTTGGAATAAGGATAAACCCCACAAGTGCAAGGCTTGATGCACTCACGTTAATGGTGGTGTTGTGAAGGGCTTCATTGTCAGAGTCACTCGTGGTGTTCCACGATGAAAAAGACAGTGCTTCAACATATGAAACCACTTCTACTGGTGAAAGTGGTCCCAACGTATTTTTATTAATTTCTTGCAGCTTCTCCAGAGGTGTTTTCAAATGACTCATCTGAAAAATGCCAGAATTCATATCTTAATTAAACAATTAAAGCCATATTTCTGCACGTGAAAATGAACCCAATAGACTGATTTCTGTTAATTAACATACTAATTTATAAGACACTTGTGCATAAACACCCCTACTCAATCAACAGGTTGATTTATTGATAAAGTGATTGATAGATTGATTGACAAATTACTGATATTACACATCTAGTATAACCTTCACAAGCAACTACAATTAAAAAAATCGTGTGCTATCATTGCAAAATTTTTCCCTAGAGCAGCTGAGTTTTATTTATTCTGATGATTTAAAGTGAACTACTAAATGTTCTGCAAAAACAATTAAATATCAGTGATATGATTATTCTGCTTCTGTATTAATCTATTGACTTTTTTAACTGAAGAGGTGGGAGCAGATGGGAAGTATTTTAATTTTTTTAGTTTTTTTTTCTCAAATGCAAATTATAAAGCATGTAGTTGAGTGAACTCTACTGCCTATTTCTCTTTCAGTGCTTCAGCTTATAAACTGCTAAATGCACTTACGTAAAACACCTACTTTAAAAATATAGGCAGGAGAGTGTGAGATGAAGATTAACCTTCCACATTTCAGTCTCATGGCTGAATAAGAGAAGAATTCTTCACAATACTAGAATCTAATTAAAAAACACTCAACATCTGATTTTGTATGATCTCTCTGCTATTGAACAGCTTTTATGGGGCTTGCTTTGTCTTTGACTGCAACTGTACAAAACTGGAAAATAGCCTAAAAATCTGACAGTTACTTACATGAAAGTATTTTGAATTATTAATTTGTTTGGTTTGAGTATATATTTTAAAAAAAATCTCACTCTAAGATTCTGCTGAAACATTTACCATGTTTTGCACCTAAGTGTGATAAGCAGGTATTATATTTGATATAATGCATTACATTACAGGTAAACATAATAGGTATGTTAATACTACATATATATAATACTAGGTTAATAAAACTCTTTTAAATAATATCTTTTTAATCCAGTAACTTAATCAAATTGCTTAATATCAAATGCAAACACATAAAATTGCTTTTAATTTATTTAATGTTTATGCTTCATGTTTTGTTTAAAAATAGATACTACTGTAGCTGTAGAATAATAGATAGTGCATTCATTAATATAGTTTAATTGGCTTCAGGAATCTCTGTTTCTGGTGAAAAGAAGTATTTTCTGGTGAAAAATACTCTGGCCACAGAGTATTTGTTTCTATAAATCCTGTATCACTTTACACAGTTGCCTTTGAGGAATAAATAAACCTGCATATCAAGATGTTATGGCTCCCTTTTCTATTTAGTCACTTGTTGACATTACTTTTGTAAGCTATCTTGCCATCCTTCTGAACAAGCAAATAATTGCACATCAGTAAATGCAGCAGTGTGTAACTCCAGAAATTACAGAAACAGCTGAGTGATTACCACACTTCTGAATTTTTCATGCATCATGACTCACTTGCTGGAAAGGGAACACACAGATTCCCAGCAAGTTATTATCATGAGTAGAACATACAACCCAGTTCAAATAATTTGAAATTATGAAAAAGCCTTCTGTAAACACGCTTAAGTTCAATTGTATGCTTCAAGCCTTTGTTAAAAACTGTTTAAGAACTATTGTAATTGAAACAGAAGTTTCAAAGAGAAACAATTAAATGATTTGAAAATTAATCTACAAACCAATACTACTTACTCTGGCTAAAGTTCTATTAATATATTCAGCTATACAGTCTTTGGATAACTCACACTTTGCCTTTGGATTTTCTGTAAAAATAAAAAGGAAAACTAATTATACATTGCAGCTCAATCAATATTCAATACATACTAATTGCAAAAGCCCTTGTCTAGCTCATTGCCCAAACCACCAGCATTCTGAATTTATGTGCATAAAACACAGCATTCCATTCTCAAACTGCAATTACAAAGACTTTATATTGGCTGAAGTTACAGCACTCGATAGGAATGAGCTGTTTTATTCAGGTAGAGAGTTTGGTCTCTTTTATGGGACTTCCACAGGTGGAGTAGAGACAGTTTGAATTTACAGAGAGGAGTGCAGATCTGACAACTGTGAGGAGGTAACCATTATTTCAAATGGATCTCATCACACTGTTTAGCAAAAACACATTTACAAAATTATTCTATTCTCAGGAATTGTAGATGCCACAGCCTTGCCTCTTTTTCATGTCTTGCTGATTAATCTAACTGAAGATAAATAGGCACTGGTGGGTTTCTCAGAAGATGTATCTCTATAATAACACATAAACCTTTATAATATCATGTACCTTGGCAGGAAGTGCCATCATTTGGCTTAAACTGCAATTTTCCTGTGGATGGTTGATAACCTTCCTTACAGGAGCAGTTAAACCCTCCATCCACGTTTTCACATTTTGCATGATCTCCACAGGCAACACTTCCTTCATTGCTGCACTCATCTACATCTGCAAATATCGTGAGAAATTGAATTTTTATTAAGTATTTACAGACTAACACCTTGCTGCTTTGTGGATAATAGCCCCACACACTACAAGCAGTTTCATAATAAAATTTAATGTAATAAATAAAAGCAAAAACTAAGCCCACAATCTCAATGGGAAAACCCCTGCCAATTATAATACTTAAGGATTAGAAAGATAAATCATAATTGATCATATTTTTATACCACCACTTTTATTACTATATAATACTACACTGCTTGTATTTTAAAGCTATATTAATTCTATCATTACAAAATGGTTGGCATGATGCAAATAATCTGAAATCCATTTTTCAGAGATTAGACTAAATAGATTTTCTCTGCTCAGTCAGAAAAAGAAAAAAAACCCTGCAGACTTGTCTTTTAAGTTGCAGCTTTACAAGGATGCTGCAAAAGCTCACTCTGTCCATCTTGTTAATCTAAGAATTAAACTCTGTGCCCTTTAAAGTACTTGGCATATCCTTTATTTATTTTTTTAAATCCATATTTACATTGCTTTTGCCTAAAATGTCTTTTGTGCTTCTAAATAAATTGCCATTAAGTAGACAAGTTCAGTAACTGGGTGGGGCATGGCCCAAGAGTAAAACCAATGAATTCCAGTAAAGGAATCCATGAATTGATCAATTTAGGAGAGCTGGGTACTAAATCCCTGGCTAGAGTACTGATTATTTTGCATTATTTGGCTGGCTAAGGACAAAGATCAAATAACTCAATGGAGAAAGCAAACTGGGAGCTATACCAAATAATTCTGGAGAATGAAGTAATGGACTGTGAAGTGCTGTGCTGGAAAGGAGAAAAAAATGAAGAGCTTTGGGACAGGTATACCTGAAAAATGAAGTGGTACATGAGTGGTTTTAAAGTAACAGCCTGAGAACTGAAGGAGAGGAAAGAGTGCAGGGAATGCAGGAGAGAGGATGACAACTCCAGTCAAGAGCTGGTATGATGCTAAATTTTGGAAAGAAATTGGTGAAAAAAAGGAGAGGTGGTTAATTGATCAGTGGAGGAGAAGAGCTATCTAAATTGATAGGCAGGCTCTGCTCACCCAGGGGGGTGTTAGGAACAGAGCAGCAGAAGGCAGATATGAGGTGGCTGGAAATATACTCTTAGCTTTTAGGAACTAGTTTCACACCCTGGTTTTGATACAAGAATCTTGGTGCTTTTCAAAAAGGAGCACAAAAAGGAGTAATAATGCATGTAAAATAAGGTTATTTCTTGAAAAATGGAGAGATATACTGCATTTATATGGATATATCGAGGGAATGCAAAAAATACCTGAAGGATACTTGGGGACCATCTGTCTATACAGACAGAGGTCTCCCTGGGATTCAAGGTTGAAGTCCCTCTCATATATCTCTTTTTCTCAAAGAGCCATTTCTCAAAGGCTCTGATTTGCACCTGATATGCTGTGTTTTAAGCCCGAAGTTCAGAAGCTGCCTTGGAAAATCAATTCAGACTCCTGCACAGACAGGAAGGAGATGTGGGGCTGGAGGTGCATTTGCCCTCCCCAGCACAGCCACCACTGCTCTGCAGGGAGAGCCACCAAGAAAGCAATGTGTTTAAATGGCTTGGTGCCAGCATGGAAGTTTAAAGCAGGATTTTGATTTTCTGCATTAGGGCAATAGTTTATTTCCATATTTAAAGCCCCAAATTACTAATGTTTCTCTTTCAGGAACTGAGCTTTGCATTATTCGTATTTGTATGGTTTCTGTGACCTCAGTATTCATAGTTATGGAGTTAACCACATTGTACATGAACCAATCTGGCAAAAGGGAAGGAAAATAGCATGATATAGTGCTACACACAGGATACCTCATAATTAAATGCTGTCATTTAAAGACATAAGGCTAGAGTTCTTACTCTTGGCATTTAAATAACCTCTCACACCAGTAAATTATGAAGCTCTGTTTGAAACAAGTGGGTGTGTGTCAATGCCGTGTTGTGTGACTGTAAGACAGAGAGACTTTGAATGAATTGAAGTGGCAAGGGTGAAAATCATGACAAAGCCAGTTTGTCTGAAAAGAAAACACATCACCCTTAAACCAAAGATTTCTTTGGCCTTGTCAGCTACATGGAGGACATGTACATCTGAATAAGCCATTCATCATTTAATGCAATGCTAAAAACCAGCAATTGAGAACAATATTTGCCAAAACTATAAAACTATTTATAACCTATAAATAAAAAAGTAATATTTAAATGCTGTTGAGAATATTGTTACTAAGGATCAGGTTTCCATATAATTTACTGATACAAATGTTTCGAAATTGTCATGATACTTTTCATAAACTTTTATATCAGTAAATTATTCATTTGCTATTATTGGGCAGTCATGCAAATTCTTTTTGTAATTATGTCAGATATTAAGTGTAACGGAGATTTTAATGAGAAGACATGATTATCCAAAACAACAGCAGAAATGCAAGTATTTTGGCACATCCCTGGAAACAAGGCTGCTATTTAAAGTCTGACGGAGACACCCTGTTGAGTATATGCAAATAGACTTTCTGCAGTTGAGTTGTCCATATGGAATGGGTCCATATCACGCCTATTTAATTTACTGTTTCCAGAAGAAAAAAACAACTCCTGGATGACAAAATTAAAAGGCAATATGCCTGATCTCGCAAGGTACTAATCAGCTTCGTATCCCTTTTAAATCAATGAGATTGTCAGGGGCAGCCAACAGTTTGTGACAGTTGCAAGCACGCAGCTTTTAAGTTCCTGCTTTGAAATGCTGTGCGCAGTAGCTGTAGGCTTTTGTTTCTCTATATTTTGTAGTTATGCCTTTTTAACCAAATATGTAATTGTTGGACCACACACGGACAACAGCTTGTCAGTGCTTTCAGCAATCCAATTTTAGTGGAGCTATGGGGTGAGGATCCCACACTCTCTCCTTGATGTGCTGTGGGAGCAGGAGTGGGCTGCCAGGGCTTGCGTGAGCAGTCTTCAGAGACAGCACTTCCTGAGCAAAGGTTGAAGAACAGCAGCTTTTTAAACAGAAGAGCATTTGCCATAGGTCTGTAAAAAAAGCCCTGGCCTTTCAGTAAATATTCAAAACAAATCCTGGAGCAGAACTTTGAAGCTTTTATAATAGCTGCGATCAGAAAAATAATATCACCAACACCACTTAGGCTAGTGTGAAAATAGATTCATAACCTTTTATTTTATTTCTGTGCTTTGTCACTCCTCATTTACTGCAGTAGGCAAGGAAATTCCAATTAAATTAAAAGTACGGAGAACAGTTATTATGTTCAGTCTTGCCAATTACAGGATTGTACCTACATGGCTTTGATTCCTCACCAGCCAGTCAAGACAGCTTGATGTCTACATTATACCTTCTGCTTATTAGTAGCTTGCAAGTGATTGAAAAGTCCAATTGCAAAGGACTAGATATTCCCTCCCCGTGTCTCCACACTGTGGAAGGCAGCAGCACACACAAAGTAGAAATGAAAAAGGCTATGAATGGCAAAGGAAAAAGAAAAGTTAGCAATGTGGCCCAATGCCAGATTCCATCCACTGTACAGCTCCCTTGTCATAGCAAAAGATGAGATGGAGAATGGGTGCCTTCCCAGTGCTCTCAGAAACACCTGAAGAGAGCTAATAGCATGTTCCCAGAAAAGGCAGAGTGGTGAGGACGTCACTTTCATTTCACAGATGGCCATTTTCATGTTTTTACTCTGTTGACTGGGGTGAAAAAAGTAGGTTTATATTTTACTTTTTTATCTGCAGCTGAACTTTCAATAAATTGTGAAGTCTAAGGAAAAGTATGGCTTTCACAAATCAAAAAATAGATTTTAATAGCTCACTTTCAGGACAGCAGAAAAATGTCTTCAGAAATGTCATATCTCTGCATTCTTATTTTTTTCTTCTCCATTACTTTTATCCTTTTCTTCTCTCTTTCCCTTCCTACTGTCCCGTTCCTCCTCTATCTGCATCTTTCTTTGTCATCTCTTCACCAATTCTACCTGATAACATGGGTGAAATTCTTTTGACCCTCAACTCAAAACTCAGCATTCTGACTGGATTAAGAGTGAGCCAACATTTCTCAAAGCTGTTGTCACAAGATTTCTTTTAATCTACTACATTGGGGAACATTATCACTTCTTACTTGGGAGCCTGCAGTTTCCAAGGAGGGAAGACAAGTGTGTGCATGGATTTTGAAAGTGAATTGCACACCCATGGCTATGTACCACACTTGCACTACTGGAAGGTAGGTTTGAGGGCATAAACAAATGGGGTTCATAATGGCATACTCTCCAAAATTCAACCACTGTAGTTTTAAAGTTACTGCTGTGTACATATATACATATATTAAAAACAAGATTTAAGACTTTGCAGAATCTAAAAATATATTGTGGGGCCCTATAAACTTGTTTAGAATGGATATCTGGTAGTTCTGTTCTGTGATTTGTACTAAATAACTTGTACTATATTTACAAAGAAATTTTGGTATTTACTTCAGCTATCAGCCTGAACACACAAATTTCAGCTGCTTGTGTGCAAGTCATATCTGCTACCTGTAGCAGCAGAACCACTGGGTACAAAATATCCTATTTTGGTTGCCCTGATGGATAAAGAAAAAAATTAATTGTGGATCAAAAGGTTGTCTTTAGGACTCACATGTTGGTAAAGTAATTGGTACACTTGTTTAATGAGAAAAAGGTGCCCACAGGTAATTTTTTAATTCCAGTGTGAGTTTTGAAAGCTCTTGGCTCCTCCCTGTGGATTTTAAAGAAGTACTAAACTAAACTCTAGAAGAGAATAAAAAAGATCAATCTGCCCAGTAAAGAGAGGAAAAAGTGAAGAAATTACCAGGCATGGTAAGAAGGAATGGTAAGAAGTTAAAGTGACACAAAAAAGTCAGAAAAATAACTTTGAAGACAAACTTCTGAAGCTGAGGAAATATCATAATGTAAAAATCAAAACCTGGAGCAGAAATGGTGAGAATATTTACAGCTCAATGTGCTAACTGTCTCCATCCCAGCTAATTTAAGAATGATTCATAGCAGCTGGATAAAGCAGAGCACTTTTAGATGGATGTGAGCAATGGGCAAGAAATGTCGATTAGATCACTTTCTGGCTTAATATGCAACCACTCTGCTGATATTAAGAGCAGTGAGAAGAGAGGTTGTCAGCACTCACAAGCTCACAGGAGACATACCTAGACTGAGACACAGTCAGCATAAAGGTGTAAAGGGCAATAGATTTATTTCTCATTTTCCCATTCCCTGAGGACTTTTGCAACATACAGAGAAAATTACCAGGAGTTTGAAAAAAGAGAAATAGTTACAGCTCTTCCATTCAGAGGAAATCCTGAAGGATTGTATGGTTGTTCAGAAATAACATTTTTCCACAGAACTTTTCCTCCCCTGTAATCTTGAACATGTTCCATTCAACTGTTACAGAAACAGAAGCTAATGAATGGCACAGGAGGCAGGATAACCACTGATCTTGCTCATTGCTTTTGATCAGACTTGAAAAATTATAAAAAATATTCTAACGAAGTTTCCAAACAAAAGATATTTCAAGTATACTAGTTCAAACTTATAGAGAATTTTGTTGATCTGAATGCAGAATATTTTGTCACTTTTTTCCAGAGACTATGACCACCTTGCTCACAGATCAGTGATATTGTGGCATAAGTGGGTGAATTGGTGATTTCTATGTTGTCTTAACTATACATTTACTGTGTAAATCTGTGACATGTGGATTTAAATATATTGCAAGCATAGTCAAGTGTTATACTGAAAGCAATGGTAGCTGTTCTGTTGCCAGGGAGAAGTGTGGGCCTGAACTGGAATATTAAGCAAGCCTGTTCCAGTCCAAAATGTGGGAATTTTATACCCAGTCTCCAAACTTCACAAATATGAAAACATTTTGCTAGATTTCGATAATTAAGAGAAGCAATAAGAGAAGAGTGACAATGTAAAGCTATCTGGCAGACAGTAATAACTTACCCACGCAGGAGGTTCCATCATTAGGAACAAAAATTTGTTGGCCATTGCTGGGTTTGAAACCAGACATACACGTGCAGTAATAACTTCCCTCTGTGTTTGTGCAATTGGCATGCTCTCCACAAGGCTGAGTAGCATTTTCACACTCATTATCATCTGCAAGACACAAATTATGGAGAAATATATTTACATTTGATGATTGAAGAAAGCAGTATTGTATAAGCTTAATTTGGCTCTGGTATTTCACTTGTCTAAGTCTTGAATGCTGAGCTGGCACTCTTGGTGTTTGTCTATATGGTTTTCCCATTGCCAAGGATGTAATCAGGTGCTCAGCAGCACTCATCTGCCCTCATCATGTGTGAGTCAACAAGTGAGACAATCAGTGGGATACTAAAATGAATGGTTTAATTGGATATACACTTGGAATAAAGGATTGAGACAAGTGCATGTTCTGCTATAGTTGTAACTAATAATATTTTTTTCCTATTCAAAAATCTACAGCTAGAAGCTCACTCTAAGGATGTGTCTAGGAATCCTGAATTATAAAAACACAGAGGTCAAAAAGATATAAAGAAATCACCCCCTTGATTCTCTGACATCAAAGCAGAACCATTGTAGCTAAATCCACAATTTTTAAGGCCTGTTTTAAAAGACCTTCTGTGGTATTTCTCAGCATTACTGAAAAACAGACTCACAAATTCATCCTACTACTGGCCTGAATCTTTAAGTATATTGCTTTTTCTTAGTTATCCCAAAGGTCTTAACAAAGAGATGACCAAGATTCATGTATTGAGCCTTCCTGCTTAGCAATTGCTCTGCAAGTCATAATTTTGGTACCTGCAAATTCACATGAACAATTTTACAGGACTAATCCCAGGCCTCCAATGATACAATGAAAAGGAATGATATACACAAGTTTGGGACTGTCATCTCTGCAGAGCTTCACCACGTGCTGTCATTATGACCGTGGGGATCCAGCAATCTTAATCAAAGGTCAAGCAGAATCATAAACTCATGCTTTGAACTGAAAGCATGTTCTCCTGCAATGTTGATCTCCTGCAATGACTCAATAAAACCATTTCCTCTCCAAAATCTTCCAAGGTTTCCTGTTGTCCACTGAGTAATTTTCAGATCAAATTTGAAAAAAATTTCAAAAGCTTCCTTATCCAATCAGACTACTTATCAAACTGAGAGAAACACTCACAATACTGACAAATCCATCTTTCCAATAGCACATTTTTTGAAGTACCCCAAAACTTTGGAGCAAAAAAAATAATGAAAGTCTCACAAAGAAGGTGGCACTGTTGAGTGGAATTCTCTCTTTCTACATCATGAGAAAGGAAAAGAGTTAAAGGCTTCCTGAAATGTACTGGGATTTTGTTCCTGTTCTCAAGCAAAAGGTACTCATAACATGATGAATGACAGGAAAGAATTCTAACAGGGAGAGAAATAACAATTTATTGCAGAAGAGAAATGATTTAGGAGCATGACAGGGAGAAGAAATATGATTTCAGAAAAGACACCCAAGGATGAGCTTTAGAAAGGTGCTCCTGCTTCCTGATGGTCAGAGTTCTCATAAGCTGTTTACAGAGATAGGATGCAGATAAGGAAAGTGTCATGTAAGCTGGGACAGTGACATGATTAAAGTACAGCAAGAGCCACAGAGCCTTGCAGGAATACATTTCTGGAATATAACTTAGTCACAACCCCCAGCAGATCTCAAACAGGGCATTTTTTAGGATTTGAAGTCTGACATAATTTTGAATGTGACTCAGTTGTCTCAGACATGCAAATATCAATTCAGAGCTGCAGTTTTCCTCAGGGGAATTTGGGTCAACAGTATCAAATGGATTATGCTCATTAAAACTAAAGTGTAATGTAATTTAGTGAGGAATCCAAGTATAAAAGCACTTTGCCAACACAAGTCAACAATTTTTATTCTACAGCCGTGGTATTCATGAGAATACAGCAGAGGCTGTATATGATTTGGATCTAAAAGAATGCCAAAGTAAAACCTAATTAGACTAAGTGGAATTATGGTAGGGAGGAAAAAGTGTGATATTGATCCCAGTTAAAAAAAAAGTATGAGAATATGAAAAAATCTGGTTTGTTATGTAGCATTGCAGAGACCAGGTCCCAGAAAAGTTTGCAAACCTCGATTACAAAATCCACTTCTAATGTTATTTTTCTGTGTCTGATTCCTTTGCAACCCAAATTCGCTCCTGGACCCTAGCATTTAATGACAACAAAAAAAGAGTGGACTACCTTATTATAGTTGTAAAATAAATTTGGTCTTGGGAAAATATTGCAGATTCAAGAAGAGTATGTGTTGACTTTGGAAAGCTCATAGGATAGTAGCCTTGGAAGATGAGAAGCAGAAGGTCACTGATGATGGCAGGACTTGATATAAAGTAGAAGAATAACAGAACTAAAGAATCTAAAGGCTAATGCAAAAACATTTCCTTTTGGATATTTTTCTAGGAGTTCAACCACAGTCCTCAATATCCAGCAATATTGACTTTTTCAGGTGGTCCGAAGGATTTATAAGCAATATTAAAATTACTCACACGGTGGTTATCAATAAATTCTCTACATTTATGCCTAAATAACTTCTCTAGATTATTGGTATTTTTTCTCAGTATTTATGATGTCTGCAAGGGGTTTAATGGTGACTGTATAGCTTTAGTAAGTTTGCTTATTGAGAGATCTTTTAGATCATTACAGAAATATTTTGAACATTAAAGAACTGCAATAACTTACATTGCAAATACAAGAATGAATATTTTAGAGTTAAATTCATATGGAGCTTTCTTTTCACTATTCCCATGGTCTAAAGTAATACTGAGCAGACTGTGCTGGGGATAATTTACTGGACCACATCCTGCTTGTATTGAAATCAATGACGTGAAAGTTACTGACGTAAGTAGGCTATGGAAAACTACTGGGTTAATGAGAAAGGCAAGAGAAGAAGTCTGAAAAAAAACAGAAAGGATTTTAATATACAGTCTATCTAAACATTCTTTTTTACACAAAATATTCTACAAGATAAAAAATGATGGCAAAAATATTATGAAGTTCTTTGTGCATACAACCTGAATTTTTTATTCAGACAGCACTCCAATGAGAAGCCCAGGGGCTTAAAGTAATATTCCAAATTTTACATGATTTATAATGTTGTTGGATTTGTGATTTAAAGGATGTCAGGAAAAAACAATGGGATTTTATAGATGAAAAAATGTTTTTTTTAACAAAATTTTCTGCCTATGCAGAAAGGATACTTTAAGTGACAGCACTCATATACCCCACCTGCTTTGTTGCTACCTAATTTAATTACAGCATGTGTATTTAAAGCTGCACAGATACCCATTGAACACTGCAGGCAGTATTTCAGGAATACACATTGCTTTAACGATTTTTTTGTCTCCAGTAAATTATGAAAAATTTGGAGACAAGACTAGCCAAATGACAAGGTTAATTATCATGTCTAAATGGTAATGTTGCATTCAAGTCTGTTTGATCCACAAGGCATTTCCTGAATGGCTGCACTGTCTTGAGAAATGACAGCAGGGGCATGGAGCAGGTCATTGGAATTCTAGGCTTGGTTGGTTTTTTGGGTTGCTTTCCATTTTTGGTTAGTTGTTTTTTACATGGCAGTTCTATGATTTGGATTGCACTAAAGTCTCATCATTACCAATCAAAATGTAAGGAAGTTTATAAATAATTTCCAAGGAAATTTGTATTGAATAACTCAAAGATATGTGGGAGATATAGGATTGTGTACCTGAATACTGGTAGGATGTTTACATGGTAGAGTTGTATAATAAAACCCATTTTCCATTTTTACCTTAAAACTACAGCTAGCATGCACTTTACTGTATATAAATGTCTTTGTGGTTAGATAGAATCAACTACTGTTATAGTAACCAATGTAATGTAATCATACCTCTACTAGTCTCTTGAGAATGTATTATGGATCTTCAAAAGAAAAAAAAAAAAAAAAAGAAGAACTCATATACCTCTGAACTCCATTTTGATTTGAGCTAGTAATTCTATTTTAAAACACTTGGGCTCATTAATATGAGTACATTTTTGCAGAGAGAACATTAAATTCTTTTAAACATACCAATACAAAAAGGAAGAATGATTTGTGGATTTTAGGGTCACGATGCAGTTGGAAGCTAGAGGAATCTAAGAGAAGATTTTAGGGGGGAAAAAACCAACCTGGAACACTTTTTTGTTGTATTCTATATCTCTTTTAAAGGGCAAGATTTACTGTATCATATATGGGAAATATATGGTATTTTAATAATGTATGGTTATGAAATTACAACCTACAATTGGAAAACAGCTACAAAATTACATAATTTGGGGTTTTTTTTGTGAGAAGCATTGAAAATTCTTCGAGCTATCATTATTTTTATATATATATCTTATTTTTAATAAGTATTGTTATAATGCTGTTTCCTTATTTACATGCAAAATGTCACAAGGAAAAGTCATGGTAGTGTATTTATCAAACAGATATGGAAGATTTTCATTGCACTGGGCACATCTCTGTGATAGACTTTTGATGATATGATGACATATAACATAAAAAGTTAGTTTTGGGGTGAAACTTGTCATGTTGATTCACAACCACAGAGAAGTTTCTTGTTTTCCGTTTTATAAATTTTGAAATAAATTGTTCCTCCCGTCACTTCAAGTAAAAAAAAAATAAAAATTGAATCCAATGTTAAACAGAATGATTTGTGCATCTTCAGTCTTCAATCTATGCAAAATGAGATTTTTATAGAAATGAAGAGAATAGAAGAATTTTAATGAATTAAGAACTCTTGACCAGAGCTTTAATCTGATAACCTGAGTTTTCCCAAAGCCACACTGGAACAAGCATAGGCCCAATGCTGTGATTTTCATAAGTTTAATGAACCCGGGTGTTACTAAGGACTACAAGCAGCTCTCACACTACAGTATATGCACATTTTATTTAGTGCATTGCCCCATGACATAAAGTTAACGCACTTAAAACATCAACAATTATTTTTTCCCTAATCTGTGCAAACCTATCTGTGGAAACCAAGGCTGGAGGCCCCTGGGGCATAGCCATCCATCAGGATGGGACTCGGTGTGAGAGGTGGGCAGCAGAGGGGAGGAAGGAA